ACATTGTCATATATTCACCTCACCATGACGTGGAATCCTGTAACACTGTGAATGATCCCTACATGTACAACAATGCACATAATAATAACAACAACAACAATAATAATAAATACAGCAATATACAACATATGCCTACATAGATGTAAAATAATCGACATAGTGGAAAATTTTTGTGGCCCAAAATTTTTGTGAATTTTGCATTTTTTACAAAATTTATGAAAATAAAATTTGTGACCAAAAAGTAGAAAACCACAAAAATTAAAGCCATGAAATCGATTTTTTAGACAGATCCACAGAAATTTCAGGCCACAAAATTTTTTGCTATACGATAATAATTATTATTATTCTTACTTCATTGGTTATATCATACACAACAATGGCTGCTGCTGCATTTCTGTAATACATTGGTAATAGTGACCGATACTAATTAGAAGAGATAAAAAAGAATAAAAATAATAAATAAAATATATTTATTGTGTGACTTACTCTCTCCTGTCCAGCTGTATCCCATATTTGAAACTTGATTGTGCTGTTGTCAACTGTTAGACTTTTCGACATAAAAGAAGCTCTGGAATACAAATACATGTAACGTCTCATAAATACAAGTACCATATAGCAGGAAATTTTAGAGGGAGTAAAAATTGGCAAATTGCTAAATTCTGGGTGATCGTCGAATTTTAATTTGGTGAATTTGTAGCCACGTGCCATTGAGCATTTGTATTATTGTTGAAAATGGCAGATTTTTATTATGGCGTATTGCTATCAAAACGCCAATTTGCCAAATTTAATTTCATCCAAAATTTCCCACTATACAGTATTATTTTGATAAAATAACTTTAATGCTTAACAAATACATTAAACACTCAAGAAATAACAAACTACATAAACAGATTATACTACAGGACATGATACTCCCCCACATATTAACACGTTATCATATTTCATTGAGTAAATGACTAAAAGCTGACCTCAAATGACTGCCATATTTTAATAGACAACTCCCTTGGAAAAATACATTAAACTCACTAAATTTAAATTATTATTATTATTATCATATTGTGGTGTTGCTATAATTCCTTTAGTGTGGTATGTGTGGTTTATTATGACACTTAGTATACATGTATACAATAACCAGATTAATAAAAGTATATGTACACAAGTAATTATACATTCGTTAGGTACGCTCTACCTCATCAATGTTTAAACAGAAGCCGAAAGACACTGTGATATTGAACATTTACAGTATCCACTATACAGTTCATCAAGTACACGTATGTATATGCATGACACACTGACAGTGTAAATCAGTAACTGCCTCTAATGTCTATAAACAGTTCAATTAAATATCCAATATCCTACAACTAGCCGGGAAGTTTAGTGGCTGTAGTTTGGTGGTTCTCAGCCTATTCACAGTTTTAAACTTCGTGGTATCATTCTCGGCTAGTTCTCTCTCCTTTCCTCTTTGGAGTCTCTCTAACTCTAACTTGTGCTTCGCTTGTAATCAGAAGTTTTTCGCCACAAAACTTTCCAGCAATATAGTATAATACTACTGTAGTACATACTACATTTTAATAAAAACCGACTAATTTTGGTTGGAATTACAACTATTTGGCTGTAGAGTATTTGGCATGTACTATAGTTTGTGATGATAATAAAAATAATAAAGTGATTTGTATATTCAAAACATACCCTCAGGCTTAAAGGTAGTTGCAATAATATTCTAACTAACGACACTTATTAATTACATGTACATGTATTTCTACTTGTACAATGGAGAGTATCAGGCATACAAAATTATACTGTAGCTCATGTATAAAGCCTGCATTATAGTGACTATAATGTATTATAATGACTGCAAACTGAAAAGTCACCAATCCCTGCTGCAGAAACAAAAGTTTAAATTTATACATTGAAAATGCAAGCGAAATGAAAGCTTGAAAATGAAGGAGAAATTGAGTTTTCTAAGCAATCAAAAAGCATACTATTAGCTTGAGCATATAATATGTAATAGCAACGTCACTTTATGTCATTTAGCATTTTAAATACGAGCCTACAAGACCAATCTCTATAAAGGTCAGCTCACAATTTTTTCTCGTAATCACAAGTGCTGTAGCACCCAATGGCAAGAACAAAAAACTTTTCTTTGAGGTCTGTTATCCTCAAATACTCTTAACTCGTGTTGCTGTACTTGTATTCTTACATTAAACAATTGTCATACAACACTTCTGGTTGCTTTGAACTGACCTCAGCCACTCAATCAAAATCCACAATGTACATGTACACCCATTACTACTGTATCAGGATATCATAATCACTTGCAATTGGATTATATGTAGCACCAGTAATTGTATTTATACAGTAATTGGGTTATTGAGCTATTGTTAGAGTATAATAGAGACTCACTCACCCTAGAGTGGTCGTTATGTTCTGACTAAAAGTATCATGAACGAAGCGTCCCACGAGACTGGTTTTACCTACACCAACATCCTACAAACAATAGAGAGAGATAGTTAAGAGATTAGAGGAGGAGAGGGCTTACTCCTAAGAGGCAAACTTTGACTTCTCTCACTGACATTGTTGAATCTGAATCTGTGGAATTGCTGATCGAACAACCCCGCCTCTTAGCGGGTTTGGGCGGGGTTTAGTAATGCACATGCGCAGAACTATTGTTGAAATCTTAATCAGCTGATGGCTAATACATGTATACATGTTTATACATGTAATAAATACATGTAACGTTTAATAAATCATGTAATATTTGATAAAATAATTTTAATGTCTGATAAATACATGTACATGTACACTGTATATGTACATGTAATGCTTGATAAAATATGGCGTTTTTTTTCAAAACCCACGAAAATAAAATCCGCGAAAAATCAATTTATACGGTTTAAGATGGCCGAATTGTAGAAAACCACAAAAATTAAAGCCACGAAATTAATTTTTGGACGATCCACGAAAATTTTGGGCGATGAAAATTTTGGGCCACGAAAATTTTCTGCTATACGGTATACTGTTGCTAAATTTTGGTGATTGCTGCCGTTTTAATTTGGTGAATTTGTGGCCACGTGCCATTTTATTTTGGCGAATGGCTATCAAAATGCCAAATTCGCCAAATTTAATCTCCTCCAAAATTTCCCGCTATACAGTATACTACAGGACATGATACTCCCCCACATATTAACACGTTATCATATTTCATTGAGTAAATGACTAAAAGCTGCTGCCATATTTTAATAGACGACTCCCTTGGCAAAATACATTAAACTCATTAAATTTAGCTAAATTTTGAGCTATTAAATTATTATTATTGTATTGTGGTGTTGCTATAATTCCTTTAGTGTGGTATATGTGGTTTATTATGACACTTAGTATACATGCATACAATAATCAGATTATATAAGTATATGTACACAAGTACATATAATTTAAACAATAATTTATCTATACAAGTTACCATGCATTAGGTACCTCAAAAATTATCACAAATGCTTTATCAGTTAAGCCGAATTTGAATAAATGCATAAAGACACAGGGCTATCAAACATTTACAGTATCCACTATACAGTACCAGTATACATGTACATGTATATATGTATGATACACAACAAACACACAACACTTTCGACAGTTTTTAATTATTCAGAAGCTGATAATGCCACATAGTTTTCATTCTTCTCTAGTGACAATACTGAGAGACTAAAAAAGAAAGAATAATGCCATGCCTTTATAAAGCAAACATTAGTAAAAGTCTATTGTGGGTTGTACTAAAGTATATGCAAGTACAAGTATAATATCATAAGTACATGTACTGGTAGACATTAATTGCTAGACACTTAATTGTTCTGATTGCAAGTGGGAGTGTCATTAAAAAGTAGACTCCGCTCAGTGTTGGTTGCTATAGTAATGATACTCTCAGGGATCATAATTTTAGGTGCCGTAATCAATGATTTTGATGAGTCAGCACTTTTGTGGTGATTATTGGTTGCCATGGTGATGGTGGGTGTGGCTTTGCCCGAGACAATTGGTGTAGTATCATAAGTGATGTGTTGATGAGGATTATCATCAAATAGCTCTCTTACCTACAGTACATGTATAAAAATGAATAGAAAATAAAAAATATTAGAATTTTATGTGCATGTACATGTATATACATGTATTATGCTGATTAATTTTTTAAAAAGGTTCCAAACTCATGTTTCGTAAACAATGGCTCAGAGATAAAAAGCCACATGTACATGTAGATGTAAAGCTAGAGATCACTCTGATAAATAATAATAATAATAATAATAATAATAATAATAATAATAAATACCAGTCTATAAACATTATCTAATAATAGCTCCTGTTCTACAAGTGATTGACGCCTTTTCTCCTCCTCCTCCTCCTCCTCTTTTTGATTCCCTTCACTTAAACTGAAGACACTAACACAAGACAGATCACTGTCTCTTTTAGCAACAGTGGGAGGGCCCTGTACCAAGAGCAGACAATAATAAAATAAAATAATAAAAAGTATACATGTACATGTACAATGTATATATAAGTAGTACATTAATATGTATCAGAAAATGTAATAAAAATTGGGAGTGATTTCGGAGCTATTTTTTGGAAAAAACTATGGGCTATAGTACAGAGTAATTTTTCAAAACTGGCCGATTTTTAAAATGGCCACAACTCAAAATTTTCAGTCGGAATCAGCTCAAACTTTCTACAGAGAATAAGGACATCAATATGTATCAGAAAATGTAATAAAAATTTGGGGTAATTTTGGAGCCATTTTTTGGAAAAAAACATGGCCTATAATTTTTAAAATGGTCATAACTTGAAAAATTTAAGTTGGAATCAGCTCAAACTTTCTACAGAGCATAATAACATCAATATGCATCACAAAATGTAATAAAAATTGGGGATGATTTTGGAGCCATTTTTTGGAAAAAAACCATGGGCTATAGTCTTGGGTATTTTTCTGAAATTTGGAGTTTTAAAAAAAATGGTCATAAGTCGAGAAATTTAAGTCGGAATCAGCTCAAACTTTCAACACAGCATAAGTACATTAATATGTATTATGCATTATGCAAGTACATCAGGTTTATAATTGTAATATACATGTAAGAAATATTAATAATAACTCACTAATAACATGTATTGATTCATTTTGAACAAATATGCTCAATCTCATTGACAAAAGGTGATAAAAATGAAGCAGGGTAGCATTACTTTTCGATATCAAGTTATGATGAATATCGTCAATTGATTCTTTTAACTGAATTATGTTATGAGACAAGTGACCGTTCGTATTAATAACTCCTTTTAATAACTAGCAAAACAATGAGAAATAAATAAAAATAAAAATTACATCTACATGTAACATAATCTACTACCTGACATTAAATTAAAATACAGTGAAACTTGTCTTAACGACCACTTGTGTATAAAGACCACTCTTCTATTGCGACCAGATCATTTGGTCCCAGTCATTTACTCATTCAACTACATAGTAAATGTAAATTGCCCCTCTAATGCGTCCACCTATCTATTCCGTTATCCGACCGGTTCTTTAGGTCCCCCGTCCATAGCCTCCCATGTAAATTTACTTCTCTATAGCGACCAGTGGGTGTGGCCATTCAATTAATTTATTTACTGGCCGCACCCACTAGATAATTAATTGACCAACCACTCCTACTAGATTTACTCAATATACTCATGCTGCTTTGATCTGTTTTATGCTTTCTTAGAGAAAGCTACTCAAGAAGAAGAAAACTACTCTTAGAGACTGTTATTGATAACTAAATATATCTGTATAGAAAGAAAGAGTGATGTATTAGCTATTCAATGTGCATGTGTCCAAACTGTCCATTAAATAATAGGTGGACCTCGCCTGACTAAGGTGGACCTGCCTATAAGGACCAAAACATGTATAAAGGGCTATGGTCTCTTTAGACAGGATACCCTATCCAAAGACCACCTCTCTATTAAGACCAAGTTTTTCT